GAAACTGGATGCTGGCAAGAACTCCTCTTTGAATCAGAAAGAGATGGACATGGATCTGTTCTGTGGATACCTAGGTGGGAGAGTTCTGTGGTGCTCAGACCCCTGCCTTTTCCCTGCTGGAGAAAGGAAGTTGCTATTCCTAGCAGAAGCCGGGGGCAGGACAGACAGAGCTGGACAGCCAGTGTACCTGAGTGAGCAGGAAGGAGGGAGCCACCTACAAGGTGACTGTGAACTCCAAGGAGGTAGGAGACAGATCCTAACTGGAAATTCAGGTGCAGCTGTTTCTTAGCTCCATCCAGTCACCACACCTGACCAGGCCCAAGCCTTGTGCAGCAAGACATGGTACCTTCATGTTGGCTTTGGTGGTTTTGACTCTGGTTGTGATTGCCAATTCTGCAAGACAGAGGAAGGATTAGGTACCCTCACACATGAGCCCACTCCTGACAGCCATGTGGTGGTGTCTTACCTGGGTCCCTGTGGGGCCTGGTTTCCACAGATTGTCAATCAGGATAGAAGGACATGGAGTGAGCCCATGAAGAGCAGAGAGGGCCGATTATGGTCCTGGCTGTGTTAGAGATAGTGACCCAGCTGGCTCTCCTCTCTCTCTCTCTCTCTCTCTCTCTCTCTCTCTCTCACAGTATCTATTTGAGGAGTGATACGTTTCTTGAAATTACCTGCGTGCCTTGCTGGCTCCTGTGGGGATAGAGAGCCGTCTTTGCCCAAAGTCAGCCACACTCCTGTTATGTGTTCTAGGCATAGTCTGGGGCTACAAGGCACAGAAACTTGGTTACCTGGGAAGGAGACTTGCCCCAGGGAATAGGAATGTTACCTGTCATTGGCCTGTGTCTCCATAGAGGGAGAAGAGCTCTCAGGAGTGACAGAAGGCACCAGCTTCCCAGCCCAAGAACCACAGCACAGTCACCAGGTGAAAATGACTGCCCCAGGTCCCCTGGCTGAGCAGCACTGCTGGCCAGTGGAGGTTGTTTGCCATACAGCTACTGAGCCCACCTGCAGCCAAGGTAAGGCCATTTGGGGGCAGCCCAGCGCCAGCTCCCACCAGGCTGCACGCAGATGCCAGCCACGGGGGAAGTCCACCTACTGAAGGATAAATAGGGAGGACAGAGAACATGTGAGAATGAGGATAAGAGCCCTGCTTGGAGTCTGGCACGGACCTATCAGGGCCCTAAAGCCTCATTTCGCCCCAGCTCCACAGAACAGTCCTGGGGCCGGAGTCTCCCAGAGGGGCAGGACTGTATGAGGAGGGGCTTGTGCCCTGTCACTGAGGTGTCCCTCTGGGAGGCTGAGACAGCACAGACATAGCCTCCCTTGGCTTATTCCTACCGGCCACTCTACCAGTTAGACCCCTTGAGACCTCTTGGCCAGGTCTCCCACAGACCACTCAAGATGGAAGGACATGGCGCCAGCCCACGAAGACCAGGCAGAGCTCTGGATAAGCTCCCACTCCTTTTAAAGAGATGAGGCTAAAAGAATGTGGAGCTGTGCCAGGACAGCTGGATTGCTCCCAGTTCATGCAGCTCCCTGGAGGCTGCCAGGTTCCAGATCCGCAGTCTGCCCTGGCCGCCTCCAGGCTCCAGGAGACACAGCTCCTTACTCATCCTGGAGTGAGAGAGAAAAGAACGCACTAGGGCCGACTTGTGACCTGCCCCTCCCCGCCCCCCAGAATGAAATAGTTCAGAAGATACGAGTTTGTGTTGTATTGTTGCCGGGGGACCCTTCACAATCCCTGGGAAATATCAGGAACCTCTGGAATTACGCTGATGCTCCTGTGAGCCTGAGACATGAGACCTGAGCCAGTCAACATAGGCAGGAAGCCAGAAAGGCATCCATGGTGTGGGCCCTCTGCGTTCTTAGCAGAGAGACAGGCAGACTGAGGAGGCTGAGTGAACTCAAACTCTGAGGTCTCCCAACAGCCACCAGCACTAAGGTCCCCAGCAGCGGAAGTACCCAGACACCCGAGAGCCATCCAGGCAAAACTGAGTCCAGCAGGGCCAAATCCCGCCTTCTGCCCAACATGCCAAAGCTGGTGATCCCCTCGGCCACCACCAAGTTCCCTCCTGAGATCACCGTCACACCGCCTACCCCGACCCTGCTTTCCCCCAAAGGCAGCATCTCGGAGGAGACCAAGCAGAAGCTGAAGGTGACGGTGGGCACCAGGCAGGGTGCCTGGTGGAGGGGCTCATGATCCTGGGGGTCTGGAAAGGGGCTTGAGTACCGGGAGACGTAGAAGGATTCAGGTTACTAGGGGCCCTGGCTGAGAGTTTGGGTTAATGTCAAGAGGTTTAGTGTCAGGGCAGTCAGTCCTGACCCTGTCCTGCCCTGTGTGCAGTCAGCCATCCTGTCCGCCCAATCAGCTGCCAATGTGAGGAAGGAGAGCCTCTGCCAGCCAGCCCTGGAAGTTCTGGAGACATCCAGTCAGGAGTCCTCATTGGAAAGTGAGACAGACGAGGATGACGACTATATGGACATATGAGGCCCACCCCGAGGCCGTCAGCCATGCCCGGGGCAACAGCAAGGCCTGGAATCCCTTTGGTCCAGACCCTGGGCAAGGCCCAGGTATCGGGGGTGTATCACTTACCACGGTCTTCTAAGCCTGCCCAGCCCCCTCTTTACAGCATCCTGCCCCAGTTCAGGCTGCCCACACACACTGTGTTTGTTGGTCCAGAGGAAGATAAGGCCTATCTTAGGCACGTGAACTAGTTGTGGTCTGCACAGCAGGGCTGCACTTTCTTTTTTTTTTTTTTTTTTTTTTTTAATGAAATACTGACTTTATTTACAAGCCCATGCCCAGGCCCACAGTTCAGGGCCAAGACAGGCTAGCTTGGGTTCTGGTGGAGACGTCATCGAGAGCCTAGCTCACCCCATACCCTTTTTTGTCATTGTTGTTTCTTTTCTAATAAAGGTGGGAAAATAGTCTCTGCCTCTTTGCTTATCCTGGGGGATACTCACCTGGTCCAGGGGGTGGAGGGCAGGCTCCACTGGGTAAGGATGGACCTATATGTGAGGGTGTTGGGCTTCCGAGAGCTCCCGTACTGTAAGTGGGAGGCTACGAAGAAGGCAGAGCCTAGGTGATGCCAAGGAATTGGCAGAAGGGCACCATGGAAAAGAGCAGCCCTGGAAGAGGGAGGCTTACCTCATCATAGTGCCTCCCTGACAGGACCAGCTACACAAGTGTGAAGCCCAAGGCAGAACAGGTGTGGGCTGCTGGTTTAAAAGAACACTCAGACAATCCCAGCACACGTGGCAGTCCACGTCCAGCTCTAACTCCAGTTCCAGGAGATGCAGTGCTCCCTCCTGGCCTCCACCAGCACTACACGCATGGTGCGCAGACATGCAGCAAAACAAAAACGTAAGAGCTGGGGAAGCCCGGACTGAAACCCTGAGACAAGGTCTTGCTCTCTATCCCTGATTAACCCTGTGGCCCAGGCAGGCTCTGCCTCAGAGTCCTGAGTGAGGTTACAGGCACAGGGCAGTCGTGACGCTGGGCCTTTCCCTTTCCTGGGCTCCATGCCATTGATCTTGGAGGTTCTCAGATACCTGCCTGCCATGACTGTCACCCGCAGCACTTCAGAGCCCGCTCTGTCTCACCTTGCAAACTCTATGCCAGAATGGAGACGAGATGCCCTTTTATGCCTTCGTGGACTGGGCACATCCCACCAAGGAAGGAAGAAGCTATCGACCAGACCCTAGGTCACTAATCCAGGGCCCTCTGGACTTAGAAACATGGTGACCCAGGATGGGCAGCCCAGATCAGCCATCTGGAGAGCCAAGACACTGGGGACAGCAGTCATTCAGCTATGCGCCTTTCTGTTTACCGGCCCCCTTATGGTAGGAAATACCCTCAGACCTGGGCCTGGGACATTAGCACAGGCTTCTCCCTGTCACAGGACCTCAGTGTGCACACAAAGGCGCCCACCCTGAGCACCTCACTGTGGCTTAATAGCTGTTCTTTCCTCCGGAAGGTATGAAGATCTTAGAAGACCCCTCACCAAATATGCCTGTGGGGTTGCAGGTAGAGTGCGGACAAGGTTACCTTAGGAGCAGCCTGGTTGCCACCCCTACACAGCAGATTTCCTCAGACATTCGTGGGAGACACGCAAGTGACCTCCAGCCCTGACTAGGCCTGAGTTGTCACAGGAAGCTGGAGGGAATTAGGACAATGGAACAGTGGGCTGGCTGAGACCCAGACCCAGAGGATCACGGACCAGATGGCTTCAGCTCACAAGCCAGCCTGCCGAGCTCCTCCCCAGTGAGGCTAGCCAAAGTGTCTGCACTAGAAAAACTGCAGCTTCCCTGTCCTGATGTCTGGATCAGGACACAAGCCCTGAGTGAGAGCCCCAAGTTTGGGGCCCTTCACGGGCCATGTCGTCAGAGACTCCCAGAAGGCACCAGAGGGTCTTCATCAGGCTCCTTCCTCCTCTGAAGAATCCTCGAGGGAACCCTGAACAGGGCTTGTTAGCTCCCCAAATGACAACACTGGGGCTAGGCTGGCCTTCGCTCTCTGCTCCTCTGCCTGAAGCCTGCTGTGAATCAGAAATGACCCGGCCTCAAGCGGGAGCCACACACTTGCACTCCAAACAGATTAATTCTTGCTCCGCCTCCGCCTGTCAGGCCAGGTGGGTATTAGCAACACCTCCCCTGAGGGAAGCAGAGGTCTAGGTCTGTCCTGAGGGGAACAGGACTGCGGCACCCACCCCGCAGAAGCCGTGCATACAAGACTGGACTGTGACCCCCGGGGTCTGAGCTGCCTTGCAGCCGGCTTGTTACATGCCAAAGGTCTCAGTGTCTGGACACTCCAGCTCCTTGTTCTCAGGGTCCTAAGGCTGTGGTGATGGGACAAGAATGTGCTAACTGGGCACATCGGGCTCTGCTGGTCTCTATGGGCACCTGTGGACTTTGAGAGGGGGTGGGGAGGGGAGGGAAGGGGAGGAGTGGTGCTGCAGAACGCTGGGCGGGGCCGGCGGGCGGGGCCAGGCCAGCAGGGAGAAAGCCCGTCCTGCAATCCCTGAGCCACTGTGCTGCCTGCTGGTTGCAGACTCGGGACCCACCATGAAGCTGGCCCTCCTGCCTTGGACTCTGATGCTGCTGGCGACAGTCCCAGGCCCCAGGTGCATAGCAGGTATGCTGGCTTTGCCCTTCTGACCCCTCCCTGTTCATCTGCCTGATCAGCCAGGCCCTACGCAGACACCCCTCTGGGCTCAGCAGCTGTCCATCTGGCAGTGTATCTGTGGCTGTGCCGGGAGTACCGGGAAGGCATTCTGAGGCTCCTGATCTAGACACTTCTGATAGAGACAGGAGATCTGAAGCAAGCCCCTCGTGCGCTCACTGGGTGCATGAAGAACCTAACAGCCTGGGAGGGAATCAGAGATCAAAGAGCCTGACTTCCGAGCCCCGGTGACAGGTGTAATCCCATAGGGAACCCCAGCATCCTGTCTGTCCCCATGCTGGGCCCAATAAAATAAAGCAAGAAGGTTGAGCTTAGAGCCATGGCCCCTGCCTGTGCTGAGCTGGGACTTAGCAGCCCACAGTCCCCTGCCTCGCCCCACCTTCCATGGCAGGGAAGCGCCACCACCCTTCTGATAGGTTTATCTCCTGGCATCTTGAAGCATCTTCCCACACCCCTCGTAGTCATTAACTCCTTAGCCAATAAATAGGTATTGCTGCTCGAGTCCAGACACTCCACATAGCAAAGTGCAGTCAGTCGGTGGCTCAGAACTAGGCCTGGCCCCTGGCGGATCTCCTTCATCGAGGGGCCGGGAAGGGCCAGGTGGGAGATGTGTTCCAGCCTAGGAACTTGCACCCTACCCCAGTCTTGACCTTTCAGCTCTGGAACTGAAACTCGGCCCTGCCACAGGTCTCCAAAGCCCACAGAGGAAGGCCTGGACAGGATGTCCACAGCTGCTGTGGTGTCCTCCCAGCTACACTGTGCTGGAATCCTCACTGGCATGTCCCCTAAAAGGGAGTGTCCTGGCTGCCTCCTCAGAGGGTGGGGCTCTCTGGGCTTCAACTGTTTTCTGCCCCCAAAAAGAGGCGGAAGGAGCTCAAGCCAGACACCATTCCCTCCTGGGCCTTGAATGGGACTCATGGTGCCTATGTGGCCCCAGCCTTGGCAAGCAAGAGGACCCATGCTAGCCACTCCATTACCTGTGCTAAGATGGACCCCAGCCTCTAAGGCCAGTGACATTCCACTGTGCCATTTGGTAGCCAGGGCAGGTCTGGGTAGGCATCATGGGGTCTTCTAATGGACACCAGGGGAAGCAGGCCCTGTGAGTAGTGTCGTCGACCCCAGGACACAGGGCTTTCCTCTCTAAGGTGCCCAGGCCAGCTGCTCCCTGCGATGCGGCGAACAGGATGGACTCTGCTCTTGTCATCCAACCTGCTCGGGCCTCGGTACCTGTTGTGAAGACTTTCTGAGCTACTGCCTGGAGATTTCACCCTCCTCAGGCTCCATGATGGGTGGCAAAGACTTTGTGGTGCAGCATTTAAAGTGGCCTTACTCCACCGATGGCGTCATCTGCAGGTGGGGGCAGCCAAGCAGCTGGGCCATTAGGGCTCCTGCACTCTCAACCCCATGAGTAGAGAGGGGGTGGGAGAGCTGGAGGTGTCACCCTGGAACCCGGGGCAGGCCCAGTCTAACCTAGCCTAAGCTGTTTCTTGAGGAACAGTGCAGGTCTCCAGGGCGGTTAGCTCAGGCTGCCTCTACCATCCGTGTCCCTCAGGTTTAAGGAGAGTATCCAGACCCTTGGGTATGTCGACAGCTTGAACCAAGTGCACTGTGTATCACCCTTGCTCTATGAAAGCGGCCAAGTTCCCTTCACTGTATCGTTGGACAATGGCCGCTCCTTCCTTCGAGCGGGCACTTGGCTGGCCGGTGAGTCCTCCCTCCCTCAAGCTAGTCTAGGCCTCACCTCCCAGGGCCCTGGTTCCTATCGGCAACTGAAGGCCACGGGACTTCCCCAACACTAAGCCGTGCACACTGATACTAGACCTAGTCTGCTGACCCGTCCCTCAGGCTGAACCAGTCCCTTGGGTGAGAGTGGCTGTCACTCTTTACTCCACCCCTGGCATCTAGACCAGAGTCCCAGCCCACAAGGACTTGGAGCCCTGGGGTCCTCATCAAGGTGATTCAGATTCAAGCCCAGACCCTGATAGTCCTGTCAGCAAGGGCCTGGAGAAGAGCCAGATGAGAGGTGTGATCTGGCTCCGGTCCTCAGTTCTGCAGGCCAGGCCTTCATTTCTCCTGGCCACGGTGCCTCTCTGCCAAGAGACCCCAAGGGACGCCTAGAGCTCCTCCGAGCCCTCCAGGTCTCTTGTGCACCATTAAGTCTTTACTCATTCCTTACTCACCCTTCCCAGCTCATCCCTACAAAGTATCCGAGTCCGAGAAGAGCCAGCTGGAGAATGAGACCTACTGGCAATACTATGGCACCTCAGACACGATGGGAAACCTCAGCCTCACCTGGAACATCTCCATGCTGCCCATGCCGGCCGTCACCATTGAGCTTTGGGGCTATGAGGAGACAGGTGGGGCCTGCCAAGGATTGGCAGGGGTGTTGGGAACTTCGGTCCCAGGGGAGGGGAGGGAGGCAGGAGGGAGAGCGGTTGGCATTCGGAAAGGAAGAAAGGATTTAAGGCCAGCGTTGGAGGTCAAGGAGGGTTTCGCAGCTGGGCGAGAAGGACAGCAATAACTTCTGGCATGTGTGGCAGGCCCCAGAGCCAGGAGGAGAAACCTTTGAGTGGATGGTGTGTAGTGAGGACAGAAGCAGCCACCTTGACCCCCTCTCCTCTGGGCCTGGCATGGACCAGGGTGTCTGCACTGGTCACACACAAGCCAGGAGGGGCCCTGTGAAAGATCAGAGCATGCCTGTCTATCTGTCCATTTGCTTTCTTTCCCTCATTCATGCTGTCAGTGCCAGAGACTGGGAGAAGGAAGGAGTCCCCAGAGGGCTGATCACGGTCTTCTCTTCCTTTAGGGAAACCCTATTCTGAGAACTGGACAGCAAAGTGGTCCTATCTATACCCTCTGGCGACAGACATCCCCAATACCGGCTTCTTTACTTTTACCCCCAAATCCGCATCACCTGAGTACCAGAGGTGGAAAGTGGGTGCTCTGAGGATCATCAGCAGCAAGAACTATGCGGGACAACAGTAAGGGCCTGGACAGATGACACTCTGGGATCAGCTGCCTGCAGATGCAGAGCTTATTGAAGAAGCCCAAGGGGTCAGGTCAGCCAGTGAGCAGCCTTGGCTGACGCATTCATCATCTCCCCTGCAGGGATGTGCAGGCTCTCTGGACCAATGATCACGCACTGGCCTGGCACCTGGGTGATGACTTCCGGGCAGACTCTGTGGCCTGGGCCAGGGCGCAATGCCTGGCCTGGGAGGCACTGGAAGACCAGCTACCCAACTTCCTGGAAGAACTGCCAGACTGCCCTTGCACGCTGGCCCAGGCCAGGGCTGACTCGGGCCGCTTCTTCGTAAGCCCCTGAACCTATTAGGGCCCCAGAGAGCGGGAGGAGGACAGGAGGAGCCGGCCTCCCTGACTGAGGGAGACGGAGGCCAGCAGAGGCAGGGTGGGGTTGGAAGGTCACCTTGGGGAGGGAGGAGCGCAGAGCCAGGTGACAGCCCCTGGATCCTCTGCAGACTGACTACGGCTGTGACATTGAGCACGGCAGCGTGTGCACCTACCACCCTGGGGCCGTGCACTGCGTGCGCTCCGTGCAGGCCAGGTGAGCCGGCCGGCCGGGAAGGAGGGATGGGCAGGGTTGGGGGGCAGCCGCCAACGGTGGCCCCGATCCCCTCTCACCGCAGCCCCAGATACGGATCGGGCCAGCAGTGCTGCTATACCGCAGCGGGCACGCAGCTGTTGACCTCGGACTCAACAGGTGGCAGCACCCCTGACCGCGGCCATGACTGGGGTGCGCCCCCGTACCGCACGCCTCCCCGGGTGCCCGGCATGTCTCATTGGCTCTATGACGTCATCAGCTTCTATTACTGCTGCCTCTGGGCACCTGAGTGTTCCCGCTACATGAGGAGGCGCCCTTCCAGCGACTGCCGCAGCTACAGACCCCCACGCCTGGGTGGGTGCTGGCACTGGGGGGGGGGGGGCTGACCCTGTACAGACTGGAGGGCCATGCCTGGGTGGGAAAGGCCACATTAATCTACCTGATCCTCTGCTTTCGCTTTAGCCTCTGCCTTTGGGGACCCCCATTTTGTCACCTTCGATGGCACTGGCTTCTCGTTTAGCGGGAAGGGCGAGTACGTGCTGCTGGAGTCGTCGCTGACTGACCTCAGAGTGCAGGGACGGGCCCAGCCTTGGACAATGCCCAATGGTGAGGTGGGGCGCCATGGTCTCTGATTTGGGGGTAGCACTGCTGGGTCTTCCAAGAAGTCAGCAGGAGCCAAAAGAGCCCGTTCTGAACCCTTGCCCTAGGCACCCAGGCCCGAGGGACAGGGCTGACTGCAGTGGCTGTCCAAGAAGATAACTCAGACGTGATAGAGGTGCGGCTACCTGGCAGGTCCCAGGTCCTGGAAGTGTTGCTGAATCACAAAGTACTCAATTTCACTGAACAAAATTGGATGGACCTAAAGGGTGAGAGGCATAGCCAAGCATGGTCTGCAGGTTACCCGTGGCTTCCACGTTGTCCCTAGTCCTGGCCATGGGCTGCGGCGGAGTCTGGGGTTCAAATACAAAGGCTAAGGTGTCTTGAGCCTTGGAGAAGCCGAGACCTCCAAGGCCAGGTCCGAGAATCTGTGTCCTGTTTGTGCCTGCCTTAGCCTGAGGCCCGTTCTCATACCTTCATATCCATAAGAATGCCTGATAGTCCTCCGCCTAGACCACAAGAAGGGGACTCACCTCTCCACTGCGCTGCGGTCAGTCGAGGTAGCTTGTTCCATCTTCAGGCTCCACTGCAAAGACACCAGCCCTGCAGCTCCAAGAGCACAGACTGGAAGTGGCAGCCAGGAGCCAAAGCTCCCAACTCCCTTGCCACCAGTCTGTGCCGCCCTGAGTTGAACAGTGAGGCGGCTCCTGGTGGGAACGGGTGATGGCCTCCTATACCAAGACCTTCAGGAAGGGCCACAGCGGGCCAGGCTGCGGTAGCCTCATCATGACCCTGAGCTGGAGCCTCCGCATGGAGGAGGGGGAAGCCCAGCAGTACGATGGCCTTGAGGCCCTCTTACGTCTGTGTGCATGCGGTTTTAGGTTGGGAATGATGGCATCTTACAGGCAGGCACATCCTCCTATTACCCTACCTCAGGGCTCTGTCAAGTGCTGGCAGAACACAGGGTCCCAAAGAGCAACCCTAAGCCATCTCTCCTTGTGGCCAGGCATGTTCCTTTCGGTGGCCTCGGAGGATAAGGCATCCATAATGTTGTCTTCGGGAGCTGGCCTCGAGGTCGGGATACAAGGACCCTTCCTGAGTGTGACCGTCCTGCTGCCTGACAAGTTCCTGACCCACACCCATGGTCTCCTGGGGACGATGAATGATAACCCCAAGGATGATTTCACCCTACGAGACGGGCAGGTCCTGCCCCCAAATGCCAGTTCTCAGCAGCTGTTCCAGTTTGGAGCCAACTGTGAGTGGCCCAACCGAACAAACAGGGCAGGGAGGGCGAGGAGGGATCGGACCGGGTGACGGTGGCTCAAGAAGAGAAACTTGGCTGCGGCTGGCTGCTGTCCCCACACAGACTGGCACCTGTCTCCCCAGGGGCTGTTCCCAACACCTCTTCCCTGTTCACCTACGACTCCTGGATTCTGGTCACCACATTCTTGGACAAACCCAAGCATGACCCCAACTTCAAACCGCTCTTCCCCGAGGGGATCACGCTCAGCCCCAGCCAGGCGGAAGGCTTGGCCAGAGTGTGTGAGAACGACCGCTTCTGCATCCTTGATGTGATGAGCACAGGGAGCCTGAGTGTGGCCAATGCCACGAGGAATGCCCACCAGTTGCACCAGGACCGCCTGAAGAGCCTGCAGCCTGGTAGGGGGGGTAGGCAGGGGACGAACCTCTCGGATTGTCTGGCCTCATTCAGTGGCCAGCAGTTTAGGTCTGTCCCCTGTGCTCTGCCCCTATCCCAGTGGTATCCTGTGGCTGGCTCCCTCCACCTTCGAACGGGCACAAAGAGGGCTTGAAGTACCTGGTGGGATCCGTTGTCCGTTTCGGCTGCAACAGTGGCTACAGCTTAGCAGGGTCGGAGACTAGCACCTGCCGGGTGGATGGCACCTGGTCCACGCCTACCCCGGAGTGTCAGCCAGGTGAGCTGCCCCTCCCAGGAGCTGGCTTGCCTCTGCAAGCACCTGTGTCTCCTTGGCCACTGTCACCACCCTCTTCCCTGCCAGGACGGAGCTACACGGTGCTGCTGAGTATCATCTTCGGGGGCCTGGCCATAGTGGCGCTGATTTCCATCCTCTATATGTTGCTGCGCCACCGCAGGAAGAGCAACAGGTAAGACCCTCCCCGTGTGAGGGTCTCGCGCCAACCCCCCACCTCTCTCTCCCTCTTTAGCTTGCTAAGGATCTAGAAGCATTTGGCGGGACCCCTGCGCCACTTTAAACCCATCTCCGTTGCCAGGACCATGTGGAGTTCCCAGCCCTGAGACGGGAGCGCGCTTGATTGACAGCATCGGGCCACGGGTGCTCGCCAAGACAACAGCCTTCCGGGAGAAGCGCAAATCTCGTGCGCCGCCGCCGCCGTAGTCCTCCGATTCCAATTCCCGCCATCCACTCGCTGTGCCTTCAACACTGTGGACCCAGTACCTGTGCCTGCCCTGTCCTCCTGACTGAGACTTGGTCCAGACGTTCTAACTCCCGCACCTCCCCTTCTCCTCCATCAGCAACCCGCCCTCTGTCCTACTGATTGTGGCTCTAATTCCTCAGACTTGAGGGATGGTCTTTTTGGCCTGTCCTAGAACTGGAGTACCTGTGTCCCAAGCCCAGACACTCCTGCACTGAAAGCGAAAGCTCACGTTCCAGTCCCTCCCTCCCCGGAGCCTGACAAACTGAGACCCAGTGCCTGCCCTCCCGTGAGGGCCCCCAGAGCTGAGTGGCCTCCATTCCTGCCCCATGTCCCAACTTGAGAGCCCAGCCTGGCCCAATCCCACAGTGAGGAGTGGCCTCAGGGCCTGAGCAGAGCGGAGGGGGCGGGGGGAGTGCACCATCCATCAGAGAAGAGACCTCCTTTGCACACAGAGCTTGTACTCCTACCTCTTCCGTAGCATACTCAGGAACACCCTCCCTGCCCGTACAAGAAAACAATGTTACATCCCCCCGTGCTTGTCTGCTTGTGCTTCACTACTGTTCCATGTTTGTCTGTGAGGTCGACACTAACAGCCTCAGAGTCTGAGCCCCGCCTACTTCCTCTACTTCTGCTTCACTTGGCAGTCTCTCCCAAGCTTTTCCACGCCTAGGATGGGATTAAGAAGAGTAATGGGGCCCAAGGAGAAGGCTGATGGCTGCAAAGGGCTCAACAGGGCCGGCACGTTTGGGTAGCTCAGGAGATGAAAGTGGCAGGTGCCCTCTGGCTTGCCCTACCTCCTGGCCATGGTGACGCCTGTTCCTCTATTGTTTACGAGCTGTTGCGCATCCTCAGTCAGTTGTTCCCTGAGAAAAGGATACAGTGCACAAGCCCAGGTGCTGTCACTGGGCGGGCCATGACTAAGTTCTCAGGTGACTAGACCTCGGGTTCCCCAGCCCAGAGAGGTCCAGAAGCGAGGCACAGGACTACGCCTCATTTATTTATTTATTTGACCTGCTCACTTAGGCTGGCTCTCTTGGAGGCACAGATCAGTGGCCGGAAGAAGGACAAGCAGGCCCCGAAGTTCTCCTTTGTGGAAAGCCCTCCCTCCCCCTAAGGTCTGTGAAGGGCTTACTTAGGCTGAGTAGGGGTCGGAGTTGTACCTTCCAGCTCAGAAAATGTGGCACAGCGCCACCTACTGATGGAGACTCGGGTAGGAAAGTTTATCTGGGACCTACTGTGTTCTGCAGTTCCAGGGGCACCCACATGGGGGCAGAAGAGGGCAGGAGCAGTAAATACCGGTGGCCGTGGACACCTACCAGACCCTAGGCAGTTGGGAATGACAGCCCCTTGCCTGTTGGGTCACACTCAAGGCTAAGGTTCCTACACACCCCACGTTCCATATCCCCCAGGCTCAGAAGTTTCAAAAAGGCTGTACCGGTTTGTCCAGCTGAACAGGTGTCCAGCTCCCCACTTACTTAGCTTTATTCTTGGCAAGAAATGGAGGCTGAGCAGCAATGGGTTTTCAGAAGAAGAAGAAGAAAAGAAAAAAAAAAAAACCTACATGATGGGGCATCTTATGTGTAAACAACAGGGAACTACAGGCTTGACGGATGGCGCATTCAGAATGCTAGAGGAGGGGGCGGCCCCATAGGGTCTGACTTCCCCACCCCCTACAGCCATTTTTCTGTATCTTTGGGTTTGCAGCTCAGGACTGGATGGGACTGAGGCTGTCTGTCTTGGCTGTCCATTGGCTACCTTCCTCTCAAAGATGAGGTCGAGCAGGGCTTGGCTCCTACTGCCCGGGTCCCCAGGGGGTCCCTGAGCCAAGTTAAGGCAGGCCAGCCCCTTGGCAGTGAGTGGGAGGCTGGCTATTCCTCTTAGACAGGGTCTGTACCTGTAGGAACAGCTGCGGGTGCATCAGACTGTCCCAGAAGTCTACACCAGGACCACGGGAGCTCCGAGTGTGGCAGCCTATAGTCTCAGCTGCCCAGGAGGCTCAAGCAGGAGCCATGGTGAGGCCCTTGTCTCTCCTTTTAAAAAAGACAGGTTGGAACCTCAAAACTGGCCAGGGTCATTTCAGGTAAAGGAGCAGCCTGAGAACTTGGAGGCCAGTCTGGGGAGCAGTGGGGAACTCAGGTTGGCCTTCTTGCCAGGGCTGGAGCATCCAGATTTCACCGTGAGGAAAAGCATGGCCTAATCTGACCTGCAACCCAAGGTGGGCCCTACCTAGACCTGTTCCCCCACCTCCCACCAAACGAAAATGTGTGCTCTGGCTGTGAGCCTGGCCCCAAACAGCTACTGTTTGTAGTGCCAAGGACAGGCTGAACTGGGAAGCCCCACTGACTGACGGGGACTTTCCTAGGGGTCCAGGAAAACGAGGTGCTGCTCTGCCTGTATGAAGTTTTGAGGTGAAAACCAGACCTTCCAGGACCTCACAGGGCCTTGACCTTACAGAGAGGCGTCTCTCTAATGGCAGGTTTGCAAGAGGCCAACACTGGGAGTTTATGGACAGCTCAGACCAGGTTGGAGTGGCAGAATATCCAGATATCTGAAGCCAGTGGGCTGCCCTCCAGCTCTTGTACCCAAGGACAGGGGTTAGACAGTCACGCAGGAGCTAGGGAACAGGTGATGGAAGAGCCAGCTGGCAGGATCCTAGCATCAACTCTAAACACAGAAACAAGAGATGTGTATTCCTGATAGGGGCCCAGGAACCAGCAGAAGCCAGACAGGTGAGGTCATGTGGGTATACCCAGCGAGAGTCACAGAAGCAACACTGCCAAGGCAGACTCTAGCCCCTGAAACAGAGGAAAGTACCCACTCTTCTTCTGTCTTCTGGACGTGGAACTTGCTGAAGCAGAGCCTCTCACTGGCTAAGAGCAATTGGGAGCAAACAGTGGCAGAGTGTGGGATCCTTCCTCGTCTATCAAAATGGCTGCCTTGGAAAAGCTTTATAAGGGTCAAGAGTCAGTGGGGTGGGGCACAGCAGGCTTCCAGTGGGGCTTTCTCAGGAAGCCCTGTCCTCATTTTCAGTGACACAGGGACAGAGGAGTGGCTCCTGTAGCAGATGTGGAAGTCAGGAGGCAGCAGCAGGAAGTGCCTGGCTTCAGCTGAGTTTTTGAGGGTGAGCATCAGCTAGAGAAGGGAGGCTAAATGGATGCCTGCTCCCGTCTCGGCAGCCTGTACCCACTGACCCACCTTCCAGCCATGCACTGGACTACATTTCTCAGGCTCCCTTGGAGCTAAAGCCGTCATAAAATCTAGCCAGGACACTTCCAATCCAAGCCCATGAAGTCCATTAGCACCCTTCAAGGCTCTTTCTTCCTGCTCTTGTCACCCCCAAGAAAATCTTTGGAAGCCTTGCCGACCCATGTCCCAGTTAGGTCCCAGCATGGACACTCTCGTTCCAACCTGTTCAGCCATGCTCCAGATCTCCAAAATCAACTTCTTTTGTGATGTAGCCATGATGCATTTGGTGCAGATATGGGTTGCAACAAAGGGTCCCTCTGAAGACAAGTTACAAGATGGTTGTCCCTGCCTCTACTCCCAACACGTGAACTACAAAGTGAAACTCTGATGCATCAATAAAATAAATAAATAGAAATTTCCTAGGCGGTCTCACTACGTAGCCTTGGCTAGCCTAAAGCTCGCTATGCAAACCACGCTGGCCTTCGAGATCCACCTACCTCTGCTCCCTGAGTGCTAGGGTTGAAGTTGTTTACCGCAATCCCTGGCTTTAAAAACTTACTAAACACCAGAGAGCTAGGGAAACGTGGCCTTGCATTTCCCATTAGCTTTGAAACCAAACGTCAAGGTTAAAGGAGCCTCCAGCTGGAAAGCGTTTCACTGAACACGGAGCAGCTGGACGCCCTGGCTGAGGTCCCTCTGCTGTTCCATACGCTACAGCGTCATGCAGTCAGGACTGGTGTACTTGGAGAAGCAATCTACATAGGCTGGCTGGTGAATGTGGACAACACCCCCCACACACACACACACACAGTGGACACCACCAATCCCATCCTCGTACAAGGACATGGCTCCGATTTTGCTCTTTGTCCAACGAAGAAAACCCAGAGTCTTTGCCAGTTTATGTAGGCTATCTTCTGTTTCCTGTTTTCCTTCCTCTGCTTTTGATTAGGAGGAGCACCAGAGACCCTCTTGCAATAGTGGACAGGAAGAAATGTCATTTGGGGTTCCCACTCCCTGCTGCTAATCTGTGGGATCAGCTTATTGGAGTTAGCAGAACCTAGGCCTGCTAGTGTCCCACATTCTTCTTCTTCTTCTCCCTTCAGCTGTATAGAAACCTGGGCCTTGTGTTCGATGAAGGGTCCCAGCTCCAGAAGGAAGCCTTCATCACCATGGCAACAGGAGCAGATGTCAGATTCAGGGCATCCTTCTGGGATCCAGGCTGCACAGGGTGTTCCAGCTAGCTCTGGAGTTCCTGCCCTGTGTCACATTCTTTCTGTCCCCACTTCCTGCCACATGGATCTCAAGCCCCAACAGAACAGTGGACAGATTTAGAAGCTCCCCTCTAAATCTGGAGTTCCCCTCCCACGCAGCTGTAGGAGCTGCTTCTCCGATACTGTGTAAGCATGGATGGCGTTCTGGAAATGAAACCCTACACTTCATACATGCTGACTGCGACTACCACTGAACTACCTGCCCCAGCACCCCAGCTTTCCTTTCTTTCCCCTCTCCTCTCTCTTCCTTTCCCTCTTTCTTTTCTGCTTTCTTTGCCTTTGGATTAGTTTTTAGACCCTATATAGCCCAGGCTGGCCTTGAACTCTCGCTAGCCACACTAGCATCAAGCTCAGTCAGTTACCTTCTGCCTCAGCCTGCCAAGGGCTGGGGATATAGGAATGGACCACCATGCCCAGCTTATGGGGGTTTTCTGTTTAGCGGTACATTTATTTCTGAAACAAGGTCTCTGTAGCCAAGACTGGCTTTCAAGTCCAGCTCCTCCTGTATCAGCCTCGCTAGTCTTGGGATGGCTAGTGTGAACTCTCAAGCCAGGCTTTCTCCCTCCCTTTACTTCTGTTCCTTCTTCCTTTCTGTCTCTCTCTTTTGCTATGCCAGAGATCACATTCAGGGCCTTTGATATGTCAGGCAAGCACTCAAAGATTCCCCAGCCCTTTGTTTTATTGATTTCTTTATTTTTGAGATCAGGACCTGTCATGTTGCCAAGGAGGGCCTAGAACTCCTGAGGTCACATTTTTCTCCTGCTTCAGCCTCTGTGGTAGTTGGGACGACAGGGTGCTTGGAGCCACACTTGTACTAACTTGTCTTGAAAAATATGAATTAAAGGCCAGAAGTTCAGTGGGTAAGGGAGCTTGAAGGTTAAAAACCTGAGTTTGATTTCTAAGACCGACATGACAAAGGAGAGAACCAATTCCTGTAAGTTATCCTCTGACCTAAATGTGTATATGTATGTCTTCCTAGCTGGTCTGGAACGCCCTAAAAAAAAACAGACTGGCTTCAAACTCAGAGATCCCTCTGCCTCAACCTCCCAAGTGCTGGGATTAAAGGTGTATGCCAGCACTGCCCAGCT